CCCGAGACCGATCAACAATCCCACGAGCTACCCTTAGCTCGTCACGAAGAGATGTCAGAGATCTCTCGTTCTCGAGCTGAGCAAAGGCAAACTCAGCTCGATGCTTCGAGGCAGTGTCCGCCATTTGGAGACGCCTATTCCGCTCATGTTCGAGATCGTCGCGTAACCCTTGCGTTACGCGATCAAAGAAGCTCTCAGGAACACACCGATCCACATGATCGTGTGGAGAGCGTCTTTCCTCCTCCTCCACCTCCATTAGAGGACTCTCGCGGTGGACAGCGCTATCTAGTTGAGCAGCTGTTGAACCACCGCGACGTGAACGGACGTCGGACGAGTTATCTCGTCCGGTGGCGCGGTTATCCCCCTTCCTGGGATACTTGGGAGCCCCGCTCCCAACTGATGATCGACGTACTGGGTCTGGTTGAGCAGTACGACGCGGCACATCCTGTGCCGAAGAAGGACCGCCGGAGAAAGTCTTCCCGGCACGGTCGTAAAGGGATTTCAGGTTGTCAATCCCTTCGTACATCTCAGTAGAGATACGTACGCGCCACCACGGGCTAGTAAGGATGTAAGCCTCCTTAGGTGCTCGTGCAGAGTTGTTCACACAACATGGGCACGGGTGTCCCCAGGATAGACGGAGTAATCCTTTCTCCCTTGACAGACGATGCAGCTTATAGCGTGCACCTGTTGGGGTTCGCTTTTCAAACTTATCACGAGCTTTGATAAGTTTGTCGTTCCAAGCGTCACGACCTACATCCTCGAGGTTATGGATGTAGGCGTTCCACGCCTGAAGCAGTGAGGGACCATCACGTTTGTGATTCCCACTGTACCATCGATGTTTGAAGAAAGCATCGATGAAGAATTCGTGTTCAGCGCGATAGTTTTTCGCGCTGGGGTCAAGGTGATGGATCCTTGACGAATCGAACAATCGTGTTCGATAACGATCACTCGTCGTCGCCGACAAGTGATCCATGACGGATTTTGGAGGCATCCATGCCTTCTTCTCAGGAGCGAGACGCAACACATTGCGGTCCCGCTCTTCCTGCGACATGCCGACAGAAGGACTGGCACCTCGCTGTGAAGTGGTGTCAATAGGAGAACCGACACCACTGTTAGCGCCCGAGTCTCGCGACCTCGAGCGCCTTCGCTTCGGCGATGGTTCATCTGATTCATCAGATGTACCAAAGATGCTACGACGCATAGCATCATCCATGCCACGTTTGGCAGGCGGCTTGGATTCGATCGCCGTCGATACGGATCCGTCTTCCGTATCAGGAGAGTATGAGACACCGAGCTCATACTCTGTGAAGACATGAGTGTCTTCATGACCAGCGCCTGTATCACCAAGTGACACAGGCTGAGTCGCTTCAGCAACCGATGAGACATCAGTTGCTGTGGTTTCTGCTTCGGCGTCCGCACAGAGACGTGCGGACGCGCTCTCGGCGGCCTTGCTCGCGCACCGCATGGGCTTGTTAGCCATGCGATGAACTGTTGGAAAGTGGACTCGGACCAACAAGTGCAAACCCTGTCCCAAATGATTTGGGATGAGTATACATTTAGTCAATCAGTCACTAAAGTGACTGATGGTTAGGGGGGGTGATGTAACGGGGTAAATCGTTACATAACAATTTATAAGAAATTGTTAATAGAATATAACTATAAGAGTCATATTCTCAGAATATTGTCATAAGGACAAATATTCTGTAGTACTTACGAGTAGTTCCTAATTGGTTGATGTAGGCCTTTATATCAACCAACGAAGACGCGCCACGACAGACGCACGCAATGAGCAGGGTGATAAGGACAAATATTCTGTAGCACTTACGAGTAAATCCTAATTGGTTGATATAGGCCATTATATCAACCAACGAAGACGCGCCACGACAGACGCACGCAATGAGTGGTGAGCAGATAACTGATTTACACATTTGTATTTAGACATAGTTAGATGAAGATAAATAGTGATTTAGTGCAGACATTAACTATTATAAATACAGTTCTACTTTTTACTCTAATCAAGTACTCGCTTCTTCTTACCGTCTTCCTCTGCACGTACGAGTGTACGTGAAGTTCCAAGGCACCGCCTGATTCTGTTATGAATAAGTAGCTTGTACTGTCACCAGTACAAGCTTCAGGGTGCCCCGTTACAATTCTGAGGTGCTGGAAGATGCGTCCGAGCTTCCACAGTACCAGTTTGAGCAGCGCCGCGATAGAGTTGAGGCAAACGTCTTGTGAAAGGGATTTGGAGATGGCAAATTCGCAATAATTTTGGGCAAAGCACTTGCCCGCTACTCCTTTTGATATGGAGGCCAAAGCGTATTTGGACGCAATGATATGGTGCTAGAAGATTGAGGGCAAAATAAACCTGGAGCACGCGTTCAATGCTGAGCTCTTCGATTTGTATTCATTGTGCGACCAAAAAACTGCAAGGGTCATATCGGATTGTTATCGCGATCATGAGTGGCGTAAGCTAGAACTATAACATGTAGAAGCGCAATTATCATTTGCCTGGAGAGTAATTTTACATTTTGAATCGGAACATTTTGAGCTTGTCTTCTATACCGTTCGGTTGATCACCGATGTGCCCCGAAGATCATCTTGGTCTCCGGCCGCAGCCTGTGATATATTAGCCATCGAACAGGTGTCGACGCCGATGCTGCTGCAGTTTTCTTGATTCGCGTGAACCTTCATGAATCGATAGCTTGCTCGATGCTCAGCAGGTCCTCAACGCATGACGTACTGGAGACATCTGCACCTCAAAAACACCAATATCTGACTGTAAAAGCGTAAAATCAGCGCCCTCCGCGGCATCTCGCTGTAATCTACTAGCGTTGCTGAAGAGCTGTATATCGCAGATAATGGTTGCATTCCTCAATGCGGATGCGAGCAGTAAATACCATTTTCACAACAAGTGTACACGTCGTATGATGCACATGGGAGCTTGAACCGACACTGTGAATAACCCGAATCCAGTCTTGATAATCAGATCACCGCCACTCATGCGTTCACTTCAAGCGTCGCCCTAGCACGCGGCCAACCAATGCCAAATCGCTGACAGTAGCTGTGTTTGTTTGTTTTGCCTCGAGGAAAGTAGTCGACGACAACACATCACCAAGGCAAGCGCTCCTACGCGGCTGCTAGCTTGTCGATTTACACCACGATCTGGACAGAAAACTCCATAGCCTTCTCGACCTGGACCTCAAGAGCCACACCTATCTCGTCAAAGATGGCCTGTTTCCCAGCCGAGAGTTTATCAAAGTGGTACAGCTCTTCTACAGACCATCGAGGCCGAGCGTGACGGGTTCGAGAAGAGATGCAGCTCAACCACGTCATTGTACATGTACTAGGACTCAATCTTGGTGTCGTCTGTGGTATGCTGTAGTAGCTTGGATTGGTATAGAAAGCGTGCACCTGCGTACGTCATGAAGAGTGCAGCCGATCCGCATCATTTTTACATACACCACACCATTTCGGTCAAGCTGAACACGTTCGCATCGAGCGGTTTTGCTTCCATTGCCTGCTTACGAACGTTGCAGCACCAACAATACACCAGTGTTGTAATGCCAAAGAGGCGGTTGGTGTCGTGATTTACCAGACTCATTTTTTGGAAAAACTCTCGGTCATGGTGGGCGAAGTCAAGTGGACGAGTGAGTAGGCAATCACAAGCATACGCATATATTGAAAAGAAGGAGTGTCTAGCCCGGCTCGCTGCAAAAGATGACGGTAGTACACGCACGTCAACACAGTAACTAACAGCAGCCTGTCGATCTAGACTGTAGCCAAGTGTGATCTGATACTCTCACCTACAACGGATCCTTGCTTGATACCTACTTCTCGTCCTTCTGTTCACTTGAAGCAACGATGTTTCATAGATCACTAGTCGTTCCGCTCTCTCGAAAGGTAGAAGATGCCTCTTGTTATCTGTTTGGCAAAATGCACTGGACCCCGATTTCGGCAGACATTAACACCGTCAGTTTGCGGTCGACTTCTAAGCGTATATGACACGCGACATCATATCGAACAGCTCTGCAGTATCAGCGGTGTCCGCATCAAGCTGTAACAGAGGCGAGACCTTGAGCACAAACAGTGGCGCGCGTGGGGCCCCTGGAGTCGAAAGTGGATACAGTGTTGCCGTGGGTTGAACCATTCGAAAAGCTGTTGTTATGCGCAGTACACGCTGGGATACGTAGCGCACACGAGCTCAGCTTTGCCAGAGAAGACAGTGGTCACTGCTCTTATGCAGGGAAACCGTGTGTCGCGAATCAAAAACTTACATTCGCACATGAATAAAATGGACCGGATTAGTTTGGTCAGGTCAAAGCAGAAGCAGTGTCATCCTTTCTTTCAGAGCGAATACGGGTATAACATGACGAAGACAGTGTGGATTTACCTCTCAGGCCGTCGAAGCGCTCGAGATAGCACTGCTGCATGAAGCTGATCAGCGAGGCAGTAAAAATGGTGCGCTATACACACACTTCAGCAGTGGATAGCAGTTCTCTGATGCAGGAGTAGATGCTTCACATCGATTCAATTCGGTAGGGCGCGTCCAGACGCGAGTTCATCAAACGCGGTCCACCCCGAGGTTTGGCGCGATGTTTACGATGAAAACAAGCAGAACCGACGCAAAAGTATGAAATGCAAGGCGTTTACCGAAAAGGAGGTCAGGAGGCACGACAAGACAATGACGGAAGAAGAGCGCTGCGAGAGCTTGAGGATCTGACCACAGGCATTATGTCAAAGGTCTATTCCGAGAACGTGGCGACCGTAGCGTGTGGATGCACCGTGTATTATCAGCCCTACTTCATGCTCGAACGTGATGGAGATGCGAAGAACAAAAGCTGTCGCGGACAAACGTAGCGTTCTCTTTGTTGCTCAATGAATGCCGGTAAACGGCTAGACAATCGAGCTATTCACGGTTTGTAAAAGCTCATTTCGTCCGCAGCTTGAACCGCGAGATCGCAGCGTCATCGAGATCGACCAACAGATAACTTTTGGACGTCCTACAGCGTATTAGATGAGGTCAAGTGGTTTCTGCGCTCCCGCCGCAGCAACAGTACCGACACAACAAGTAGTGCAATCATCACGGCCTACAAGACATGACACACAGATCCACACCTACGTCAAAAGACCTCTCCCACTCCCTAAGTCGACCACCGACTTTTCACAAACACCTTTCATAGAACCTAATAGCCACGTGTACAATCTCTTCTTTTATACCTCAAATTGAAGCACTTCCATGCCATGAACTTGTATTTCAGTGAGTCGACACGGCTGGAATCGCGTCTGCCCTTCATCTTCGAGGCTTTTATAGAGCGACGGGGTCGTGGCATTCCAAGGGCGAGGACACTTGAGCTCCCTGGCGGTATCCAGTTTCGCGACAATAATGTTCCTCCTTTTCCGTCTCGGAACAGGCCACACAGTCTTCCACCAATGCACACACGAGACCAGATACTGGATCGTACACGCGATGGGCGGCCACAAGCGTCGGATCGCGACGTCGTAGCGGATTTCTCGAGGCGTCGGCTCTTTGAGTCGGAGCGGGTGCAGAAGCCCGGGACGGATCACTCTGTTGACGCAATCGGCGGCTGCTTGGGTCAATGATAACCATATTTGGGTACGTCGTGACGGGCCGGAATGGGCGTTAATAGCGCCGTTTTGCTGAGCACTGTGAGCTTCGTAATTACGTTTATTTTTATTTTCTTATTTTTTATTTTTTGGCTCGGTTAGCTTGTTTTGTGATATTGTGGAAGCGATTGGTGTCGAGATGTTGTATTGTGTTGCGGCAGCTGTTGGTTTTCGGGGGTATTGCAATAAAAATAGGCATATCTATGCAAATTTTTATTGGGAGGCGAGGTAGCAAGTCAAGTGTTTGCAGACTAGATAGGACAAGATTTACATGACACTGGAGAACGGAATCTGCCCGTTTGCCTCTTCGAGTTCAGTAGTAACTACCTAAATCTCGTGACGTACAACGACCATGAATGCAAGAAAATTCACGTAGCTGGGCTTCCGGTGCAGTGACAAATAATTATAGCCGTGCTGGGATGATGTTAGTGTCAACATCGGGAAAATGAGGGCCTCATTGCTGTCAGCGCAGCTATAACACTGGGGTCCCGCTTTATTCCATCGCGCTGCATCTGAATCGAACTGATTCTCGTTGGCAATCAGAATGAATTCGTGCGTGTATCTAACTTACAGCTACAGGTCAGATGAATAAATGGAGCCACTGTCCGCAATGAGAGAGGAGAGAGCGTAGCCGGTGTTGCGACTTAGGCAGCGTCTGCGTGTGCTTCAGCCACAAATGTGTTTTCTCGTGCCAGATACGTAATCGAAGGTAGTGTGCGACGATTGAGAACGTTTTTAATGTCGAGGATCTCGCTACCTATGATGCAAGGCATGTGCATATCGTTTATGCACGAACATTGCTACTTCAGTAATATATGACGACCGCGGACGTCCTACGACCGCGGTCATCGATGTACTGTGATGGACTAGACAATAGACAGCACTGTTGCTGCGGGCTTCCGCCTGCAAAGTATCGCCGCTAAGCTGCCAAGATCATCAAATCTCGCGAGGGACCTTAATACGACATTCCCCTTGATTCCTCGTGCACTTAGCATCCATTAAACCACTACTTGCATCGAAGTCGTATTTGCCACGGTGAGTGCGTCTTAACGCAACTCGAAAGTACATACCCACTCGACTCTTTAACGTCAAGCGCTTAATTTGCCGGCTTGTTAGTAGATCAACTAGTACTATGAGATGTTGGTGCTCCTATCTACAAGTGGACCCTTTCGAGTTGCAGTGAGCCCATAATTTGATGTCGTCATTCAATCAGGCGTCGTATCTCGACTGGACAGTATCGAAACTTCGGCGACGTATGGGCGAGGAACGCTAAATAAAGTTGCAGTGCATCATGTTCAAGAGGCGATCAAATTGCTCGTGGTGGTAAAGCCGTGTCGTATTCCTCTAGTGTTAGCGTCAAGGTAAAGGGCATTGCAACAGTTTGTATCTCGTGCGAGTTTTTTGCAGTACAGCTCAGCGAGGTCATCGCGGCATAATAACGCGAGCACTGAAGTCATTTGTTGATCTCTTTTGGTCCAGTTTCTTTTCGTTTACATGACTTGCATCGGTACTCGCATCGGGACGCAAAACAGGTCGGCTGTTGTGTCGTGAATGCGCGCTGAAAGACATCTTTTTACAATCGTTTGTATAGACATGCGGCTATACCTAGTACAATCAAACATACGTCGGGTCTAGCTTACTGCAAGAGCAGATCATAGAATGATGTAAAGTCGTAACAGCACTACGTCTAAGTCGCCAAGTCAGCAACGACTGATGCCGTGTCAGATAATACGTTCGCGAGACGACGCTGTCGTGGTCATACTGATCACAGTTTCACGACGCTCCGAATATCTCTTCAAGAAGAAAACGAATGCTTGTAAGCGCCTGGTCCGACAGGCTCCATAAAAGAAATACGGAATACTGTAGCTAACTGATGCATATTGGTATGACCACATGTTTCTGGATGATCAGCATTCACCCAGATATATCAAGGCCAAAACTTCCACGCTGCTGTTGCTGAACCACCACATCGGCCGATGTCGTGTACTGTCTCTATAAGAAGTGCTACTTGCAAGCATTCGAAAACAGCACTTAAGAAGCTCGCTGCTGTCCCGAGCGATCCCATTTGTCGTGCTAGTGCTGGCCGAACTTGCGTATCTTGGCTGAAGTAGACTCTCCGTTTGCCTCACCTTGTGCGGTTGTCACTTCGCACTTCACTGGTCGACATCCAACACCTTTTTTTGCTGAGATGTTGCAGTATGAAGGAGAAATGCGACCTGTGTGCTCGAGCAGCCTTGAGTTGTCTGACTATCCTTCCCACGAGACCTTTCCACGCACAACGACTAAAGCATCCACCTCATATCAAAAGCTTACACTTGACAAAGTAGAGGTTTTGTGCGTGCTGATCTCGGCGCCGCTTTTTATAGATACACTCTGCTTTCCTCAATCAATGTAATCTATCCACTGCATGAACGATCTAAAATGCATGTCAAAATAGCCATAGATTACAATTTTGAGGCCATAGAGCTCGTGCAACCGAGGGTGCTACCAAAAGGATAGCTACGTGGAGCTTTAAATGGTTTCAAAAGCTTTCTATGATGTCGCGCTATAATTGAGAGCTTCCGCCATCTTCAAAAAGTTAAGTACACAGCGGCCTTCTAGCGCAACGCTTAGGTCCAGAAATATTATATTTGAAAGGCTTCCAGCACCTAGGTAGAATAGCAAGCATACCAACAGTGGCACTAGCGTGCTGCCGCAACACAGTATATTACCCTCAATAAAGAATTACAAACGTGAGCTGTTGAAAGATGTCACATGTACTGAACATCTTATTCTTTTTGTGGTTGTATTGTTGAGTAATGTTAGCTCGTAGATGGGAGGCGTGGTTCGTTTGCAATAGGCATGCTACCGCACCACACAATAACCACAAAACACCGCCATTTTCTAAATTTATTTATCCAGCACGAATAAATCTATTGTCCACTTTTCAAATTGCCGTAGCACGACTCCAGCAATTTGTATTCAGCCTTTTTAGTTGTTAGTTCGATACAAACACGAAAATAAGTCGTGGCGACAGCTCCACGAGAGCAGGTCGCCCCTCCTCTCCCGCCGGATCCTCTGGACAGTTCTACTTTCTTGCAAGATGTAGTCGTCTCAAGAAGTCCCAAGCCAGCTCCAGAACTAGCTAAATCCGAGGAGGACCTCGAGTCGGGCCCTATGGCCAGTGACATGAACATGGACGAAACCAGTGACGGATCTACTGAGCCTACCCATTCCCGCGATATGACCGCGGCCGGCCACTCTACTGCAGTGTATACACCAGAGGGGGCCTCACGGCTGCGGGATAACGGTGTTGCTCACACTACTGCTACAGTGGTCGAAGCTACGGTCGAGCAGAGGCTTTATAAATATCGCAACGGAGGATTACTCGCTTCACAATGACTCCTCTCTTTAACCGATGACCTCGGATAGACGGACCGCGTTGACTGCCTACGTGGAGCGCCGTCTTGACCTACCAGACCCGACCACCTTTCTGGTATGCACCACACCAGATTTGAAGAGAGACGCTATGTTGGCATATCACCAGAATAAGTTTGAGGGTACGTTGATAGATGACGTTCCGGCGAGGGCCCCGGCTAGGCAAATTGCTTTATCGACGGTATACTATACGCGAGCTAAATGCGGCCCATGCAAGGACTGAGTGTAACGGGGTGAATCGTTACATAACAATTTTTAAGAAATTGTTAATAGAATATAACTATAAGAGTTACATTCTCAGAATATTGTCATAAGGACAAATATTCTGCAGCACTTACGAGTAGTTCCTAATTGGTTGATATAGGCCATTATATCAACCAACGAAGACGCGCCACGACAGACGCACGCAATGAGTGGTGAGCAGATAGTTGATATGCACATTTGTATTCAGACATAGTTAGATGAGGATAAATAGTGATTAATTAATAGACATTAACTGTACTAAATACAGTTCTACTTTTTACTTTAATCAAGTACTCGCTTCTTCTTACCGTCTTCCTCTGCACGTACCAGTGTACGTGAAGTTCCGAGGCACCGCCTTATTCTGTCATCAGAATAAGTAGCTTGTACTGTCATCAGTACAAGCTTCAGGGTGCCCCGTTACACCTGGTAGCACTTCGTAGTCCGTCCAAGGACCACGTTCACACCTAACATGAATATGTTGGATGATGAAGATGACCAAAGCTTTCACGCTACGCGTGACGGCTACTCGCACTTGAGCGATGTCGAATGGGATGCGGTTGAACGGATAGGTTCAACCATGGGCATCCATGCTGTTAGCGTCATGCTAGAGGCTCTCAATAGAGATGCCCAACATGCTACTATCGCCAAGTTCATTCAAAATGAACTTGACGCCGAACGCGAGCAAGTAGCCTTTCTTCACCAACAAGGTTCTCAACAATCAGAGTTGCTGAGAGAACAGGGTGTTCAACAGTTTGAACTGTTGAGACAGCAGCAGGCTGCTGCTGGTGGGTCGATGCATTCGCGTCGACCCGAGACCTTGAAGATTGACATCTCCAAGTATAGGGGAGTCGAAGAGGACTTCCTCCTGAGATGGTTTGTCGAATTGGATGACGCCATAAGGGCGCGTCGCACCGACGACGGGGAAATGCAAGTTGCATTTGCCCAATCAAATCTGGCAGGACGTGCCAAGACTTGGTCTTTGGGACTCATGTTGCACGACCCATATGCGTTTGGGTCGTTAGCAGTCTTCAAGTCGCGGCTCAGACAAACGTTTGAACCGCCTGGAGCTGAGTTCAGAGCTCGAACCGAACTCTTGAAGCTCAAACAGGGTAAGCGTGATGTGCACGCTTACGCACAACATATACGACATCTCACGAGCTGTATAAGCTCCAACCCGGTTGATGAACACACGTTGGTTTCGGTGTTCATGCAGGGTCTTGCGGATGGTCCCGTCAAGACTCACCGGTTTAGACTTGAACTAGATTCACTAGAACAAGCCATTTCCATTGCGAAACAGGAAGACTTCAGTCGGAGACAGGCTCGCGCCAGCTCGACATCATATCGTACACAGAGACGATATGATAGAGGAGGTCCAGAGCCGATGGAACTCTGTTATGTAGAGAGCGAGAAGGCTCGCTCTACAGACTACAAGAAGTTGCAGAAATGCAACAGATGTCAAAAGACAGGACACTACGCTTACGAGTGTAGTGCCCCTCGTCCAGTGTCTCGCAACACTGGGCGTAGTGACCGTCCACCCATGAAAAAGGGGCAGGGACGCGGGTACGCTGTTGGTGCAAAGACGCAACAACGGGATGGACCGTCAAAAAAACGGACAGGATCAGTAGGTGCGGAGCATCCTACTGGTCCAGCAATGTCAAAAGAATTTGTAGGCCTCTTGATGAAGGTTGCTCCCAACACACAAACGTAGTGCGTTGCTGCTCTAGGCATTGAGATCTCACTCGTTACCTTGAAACTCGAAGTGACAAAAAAGTTGTCCCTTCGAGCTCTAGTCGATTGTGGGGCGTCCAACAATTTTGTGCAACGCCAATCGCTAGAAGATGGTCACTTTAAGTTCAGTGAATGTGACACACCTCCTACGAGGATGACGGTACGTCTTGCGACAGGCGCATCCGTAACCGTCCTGAAGCGTATAGTGAAGATCCACTATACGCTAGAAGATACCCAATATGACGATGACTTTATCATATTGGATTTGGATGACAAATTTGATGTCATCCTTGGAATACCGCGGCTCAGAAGGTACGAACCACGAGTAAACTGGCAACATCGAACAGTAACGATGCCTGCCGCTTGTTCATCAGATGGCCATCTGATGAACGTTTTGGAGCGTCCACAAGCGTGTGGATGTACTACGAGTGAGTGCGATGGCCTCACTTGTCATACGGTCGTTAGTACGACTGCACAAAACCTTAGTATAACAAACGGTTACACTTCGGAGCAAAGTTCCGGCGGCTGTGAGGAAACACAGGCTGCGCCGAAGGTCCACCACTCGAATAAGTCGAATGGACCGGGATAAAGATGTATCCCTAGCGGGGAACATCTAGAAGAGAAACAATCGATTGCGCAGGTTAAGCGAAACGATAATCCTAGATCGATTGGAGAGTCTTTCGTAGAGGATCTCACTGTGGTTGCGCAACCCCAGCTAGAGGAAGCTAAGGGAATAAGTCCCGATATTACAAATACGGCGGACATAAGTTCCCCGAAACCCGAGGGAATTAGTCCCCGGGAAGCCGAAGGATTGAGTCCTTCGAGGCCTGAAGGAATAAGTCCCCAGGAAATGACAAAGACATTGAATGTCGTAGTCAATAACGGATCAAGTGTAGGCGCTTATACACTTGATCTGATTGCGCCTCCGAAGTTGACTTCGGAGATCACTCAGTTGCCAACGCTCGAACATAAAAGGTTCTTGCGTGATCTGCGTAGTGGCAAAGTCAAGCAGATCTGCGTACTCGTCGCTGACGACGAGTGTGTAGCCGACATAAGGTCAGCAACAGTGTTCACTTAGAACGAGAGAGTTCTCAGTAGTTCATCTATGGACGAGAGTGTCCTAGATGAAAAGACACGAGTTGAGCGATATGACTCCCAATCGTGGGAATCGCTCAAGACAAATCCTCTCTATGAAGATTTGGTTGAATTCAAGGATGTATTCCCTGAAACTGTTCCGTGCGAATTACCGAAGGATAAGGGTATTCGACACGAGGTCGAGCTTAAACCAGGCTCGAAGTACTGTGTCATGAAGCAGTGGCCACTGCGGGCCATGTGAGGGAATCAACTTCCCCACATAGCTCTCCGACCTTCTGTGTGCGAAAAGCAACAGGAGGGTGGCGGATAGTGCATGCATTTAACAAGTTGAATGCTGCACGGTACCGGCTCAGACGTCGACACCAAGGAAGGACGTAATCATTGATGGTATGTCAAAGAGTACCATCTTTTCGTCCATGGATTTGATGGATGGCTTCTATCAAATCCTTATGCGAGAACGGGATATACCCTATACCGCAGTTAGCACGCCTAGCGGCATGCTCTGGGAATGGCTAGTAATGCCACAAGGGCTTAGTAATGCCCCTGCCACGTTCAACAGATGTGATACACATCTGTTGAGACCAGTACGAGAATTCGCGCCTTGTTATTTCGATGACGTATTCATCCATAGTCGGGCTATGGATGGAAAGTCGGACGTTGAGGTTCACAGATACCACGTCCGACAGGTTCTTACAATCATGCGAAAGCATCAATTGTATGCAAACCTCAAGAAGTGTATATTTGCAGCAAGCGAAATACCACTTACTGGGTGCATCGTTGGTAAGAACGGTGTACGTCCTGATCCCGAAAAGATCAAGGCGATCACCGACTGGCCTGTGCCGGTTGATGTCAAAGGTCTTCGAAAATTTCCTGGGCTAGCGGCGTATTTGCATAAGTACTCACGCAATTACGCCGAGATGACTGTACATCTCTCTCGTTTGTTGAAAAAGAACGAGAGGTGGTTACGGAACGCTGAATGTCAGCGCTTCTTTGATGGTATCAAGCAGAGCTTGATACAATCCCCAGTACTAGCAATTGCCGATCAGGACAGGCCATTTCATGTGGTCTGTGATGCCAGCGATTTCGCAATCGGCTGTGCATTAATGCAGTACGATCTTGAAGGCGTTGAACGCGTCGTCTGCTATCAGTCGCGTCAGCTGCAACCAGCTGAGCGGAACTATCCAGTGCATGACAAGGAACTCCTTGCCATGAAGTATGCACTCGCGAAGTTCAGAGTCTATCTATTAGGAGATAGAACCTTCATTGTCTACACTGACCATGCGTCATTACGCACGGCAGTAAACAGCCTGCACCTTTCACAACGAATGGCGCGGTGGTTGTCATTCTTTGCAGAATACAACTTTACGGTCGAGTACAAACCAGGACGACTTAATGTCGTCGCTGATGCACTCTCACGTCGTCCCGACTTTGAACCAGTCGTGAAACCCGACAGTGAGACAGTCACTGTTGCGGTTATGACGTCCTCAGTACCATCTTCAACGTTGCATGATGATGTGAGGCGGGCATATGCCTAAGATGGTGAGATTGTGAAGTTGTTGACACATCTCTCACAGCCATCTCGAGAATCGTTGAAACGATTATCGTCTGCGTATCGATCTGCATCAGATCGATACACTACTCGCAACGGTTTACTGTATTATACAGCCGTTTCTGGTGACACACCACGTGTTGTCATTCCAGATGATAATGATCTGCGTTTGCGGATCATGTTCGAGTATCACGATGCTCCTATAGGAGGACATCGTGGCCGGGAGAAAACATATCTCACGGTGAGTCGAGACTTTTACTGGCCCCGCCAGTATCAGCTTGTGCGAAAGTATGTTCGCGCATGCGAAGTCTGTCAACGAGTGAAGTCAAGTCCTTCACTGCGTGCACCGTTACAGCCTCTACCGGTTCCGGCAGAGTGCTGGGAATCCATCTCAATGGAATTTGTCTTCGGGTTACCCAAAGACGCACGCGGGAATACGGGCATTCTCGTATTTGTTGACGGATTCAGCAAAATGGTACACCTTGTGGCTGTACCCGAGTCAATCACGGCAAGTGGCTGTGCTTGTGTCTTTATCGACACCATCTTCCGACTTCATGGGTTGCCCCGTGTACTCGTATCAGACAGAGATCCACGCTTCACTGCTGATTTCTGGCGTTCCGTGTTCAAATCACTCGAACGCGCTTGAAGATGTCGACATCTGATCATCCAGAGTCAGATGGTCAGACGGAACGTGCCAATCGTGTCCTAGAAGAGATACTTCAAGGATACGTACACTCCTTTAAGAGTTGGAGTGAGTTCTTGCCAATGGTAGAGTTTGCCATTAACAACTCGGTATATGCGTCCACGACACGTACACCGTTTTACGTGAATGGCTTGCGCCATCCGCGTGTACCCACCTTACTAGAGTGTAACTCTGGCTTAAGGGGGGGAGGGACTCGCGCGAGCAAAAACCGATTTGGTTCACGCTCATCACGCTCTGACGAAGAGGTCATTGCGTTGGATGCCGATATCGATAACATCGATATCGAAGAAGATGATGCCAGTGAGAGTGCGGAAGCCCTCACTGAAGAAATGATTGATGTTGCTGCAGTGCGCTCACAGCGCACTGAAGCTAACGAGTCATCAGATGAGTTCATACTGGCTCGTGAAACGGTAGTCCGTTTTGTGCAAGACTCCATCGCCGAAGCGGTGGATAAGCAAAAGCAAAACGCTGACAAGAATGGAAGGGCGAACACTCTTTTACTTAGTAAAGGTGACTTAGTCCTACTGTCTACGGTTAATCTACTAAAGCATGTAGTGACTAATTGGGTAGTAGTAAACTTCTACCCAAGTACATCGGCCCATTTCGTGTATTCACCGCCTAGGCAACGCATACACGATCGAACGGCCCATAAGATGTGAACGCATCCCACGTTTTACGTTGGTCGGATTAAGCCTTTCCATCAGTACGCTGCTTCTTCCGATGAAGAACGCCCTTGCTCTCAAGCATCTCGCAGAGAGCCTTGTGCTCCCGATGGTGAGCATCGACAAGGGTCTGAAGAGCAGTCATCTCATCCCGAGACCGATCAACAATCCCACGAGCTACCCTTAGCTCGTCACGAAGAGATGTCAGAGCTCTCTCGTTCTCAAGCTGAGCAAAGGCAAACTTAGCTCGATGCCTCGAGACAGTGTCCACCAGTTGGAGACGCCTGTCCCGCTCATGTTCGAGATCGCCGCGTAACCCTTGCGTTACGCGATCAAAGAAGCTCTCGGGAACACACGCTTCCCCACGATTGTGTGGAGATCGTCTTCCCTCCTCCTCCACCTCCATTATAGGCCTCTCGCGGTGGCCAGCGCTATCTAGTTGAGCGGCTGTTGAACCACCGCGACGTGAACGGACGAGTTATCTCGTCCGATGGCGCGGCTATCCCCCGTCCTGGGATACTTGGGAGCCCCGCTCCCAACTGATGGTTGACGTACTGGGTTTGGTTGAGCAGTACGACGCGGCACATCCTGTGCCGCAGAAGGACCGCCGGAGAAAGTCTTCCCGGCACGGTCGTAAAGGGATTTCAGGTTGTCAATCCCTTCGTACATCTCAGTAGAGATACGTACGCGCCACCACGGGCTATTAAGGAGATAAGCCTCCTTCGGTGCTCGTGCAGAGTTGTTCACACAACATGGGCACGAGTCTCCCCAAGAGAGGCAGGGTAATCCTTTCTCCCTTGACAGACGATGCAGCTTGTAGCGTGCACCAGTCGGGGTTCGCTTTTCAAACTTATCACGAGCTTTGATAAGTTTGTCATTCCAAGCGCCACGACCTACATCCTCAAGGTTATGGATGTAAGCGTTCCACGCTCGAAGCAGTGAGGGACCATCACGTTTGTGATTCCCACTGTACCATCGATGTTTAAGAAAGCATCGATGAAGAAATCATTCTCAGCTCGATAGTTTTTCACACTGGGGTCAAGGTGATGGATCCTTGACGAATCGAACAATCGTGTTCGATAACGATCACTCGTCGTCGCCGACAAGTGATCCATGACGGATTTGGGAGGCATCCATGCCTTCTTCTCGGGAGCGAGACGCAACACACTGCGGCCCCGCTCTTCTTGCGACGTGCCGACAGAAGTACTGGCACCTCGTTGCGAAGTGGTGTCAATAGGAGAACCGACACCACTGTGAGCACCCGCATATTGTGACTTCGAGAGCCTTCGCTTCGGCGATGGTTCATCTGATTCATCAGATGAACCAAAGATGCTACGACGCATAGAATCATCCATGCCACGCTTGGCCGGCGGCTTCGATTCGATCGCCGTCGATACGGATCCGTCTTCCGTATCAGGAGAGTATGAGACACCGAGCTCATACTCTGTGAAGACATGAGTGTCTTCATGACGAGCGCCTGCATCACCAGGTGACACAGGCTGAGTCGCTTCAGCAACCGATGAGACATCAGTTGCTGCGGTTTCTGCTTCGGCGTCCGCACATAGACGTGCGGACGCGCTCTCGGCGGCCTTGCTCGCGCACCGCATGGGCTTGTTAACCATGCGATGAACTGTTGGAAAGTGGACTCGGACCAACAAGTGCAAACCCTGTCCCAAATGATTTGGGACGAGTATCCATTTAGTCAATCAGTCACTAAAGTGACTGATGGTTAAGGGGGGGTGATGTAACGGGGTGAATCGTTACATAACAATTTATTAGAAATTGTTAATAGAATATAACTATAAGAGTTACATTCTCAGAATATTGTCATAAGGACGAATATTCTGCAGCAATTACGAGTAGTTCCTAATTGGTTGATATAGGCTATTATATCAACCAACGAAGACGCGCCACGACAGACGCACGCAATGAGTGGTGAGCAGATAGTTGATATGCACATTTGTATTCAGACATAGTTAGATGAGGATAAATAGTGATTAATTAATAGACATTAATTATGATAAATATAGTTCTACTTTTTACTTTGATCAAGTACTCGCTTCTTCTTACCGTCTTCCTCTGCACGTACCAGTGTACGTGAAGTTCCGAGGCACCGCCTTATTCTGTCATCAGAATAAGTAGCTTGTACTGTCACCAGTGCACGCTTCAGGGTGCCCCATAACCCTGAGGACGACAGTACTAAGGTGCGGCTCTTTGATCAAGCAGCATAAAGGGTAGACTATGACAGTAACTACACGTTGTCTTTTGTCTTCATGTTTAAGCGCGCTCCCGCTGTTTGAGCGAACACGGAGCTTAAACTGCGTGATTGCACTATCACCTTGTGGTCGGCTGAAAACGACATTCCAGGAATACGAACGCTGCCACAGGTGGCGAGACACTACGCTGACAAATAATTTGGTACTGAGGGGTTAGATCCGATATTTTTGCATACCGTATTCAGCCAGGTTGCTGGAACTGGTATCTTGGATATACGACATCTTTGTGTGAAGGGTCTTGCGGAACACGATAACGATGACTGGATGGTGGTCTTCCCCGGAATGGAGTGTCCCTCTTCACTCCTTAATATCACCTCGCTAGTAATAGGTGATAGAGTGATTACAATCCATCATTTCCTGCGTGTCGCCACGGCCCCCTGTAGCAATTGTTTCAGCTCTGCACATCTCTGGGCGCGCTCTCGCGCCTCACTAGATCAATTGGTATCTCAGCGAGCGAGCCGACAGCGCAAGTATGTAGGGAAGGTTTTGTCAAATGCTCCCTCATAATTCAAAGCCTGTACAACAATTGGTGATCTGTACCGAGTATTAGGCACCGTCGCTTCCCCGACTGCTGCAGATGTGGTATTTGACGTGACGCAGGTACTGGAGGCCATACCAGATCCGGTTTAAGATAACAGAGGGTCATCTCAGATTAAAAGACGCTCGATAAATCGCGTTGCTGCAACAGATGTGACCGGTTGGTCAGTCGTAGGACGGAAACTAGGGCCCGAATCGCGATTCTGACAGACGTGGTTCTGTTTTGGCAAACACCAGCGGAATCGTGATACCGACTCGAAGAGTACTTCCAAAGCAAGGTCAAGTAACATTCTTCAGAGGACCCAGGATGCATCCGCGCGCCAATACCGATAGCATTCTCGAGGAAGAGTTACTTTAGTAGATGTAACTCCTAATTCGGCCTACGTCTCCTCCCTACGTGCTTAACTCGAAGAGAGTGCCGCAAGTGTACAGGAGACACATGCTGCCGACCGATCACAGCCTATCCCATCCACGTCGTCGAACGCAACTATACCAGCTCCTATTGCGGCTCATGATACGGGGATCACGCTGCACCGTACCATCTACGAAGACCTCGCGGAGAGCTCTGACAATGATGATGATTAGGAGGACGACCGCTTGCCTTCCCTTCCTCAACCTCGGATGGCTGAAAGTGAGGCGCAGCCAACAACGAGAGATGACTTTGAAAAGGACGTGGTCGCCACTTTAACCCCGGTCTTGTTCCCAGACCATGTAGATAATCTCTGATCGGCTGCAGCAGACTTCTAAAACTACGAGGCAGTCTAAGGACAAGCGCAGCATCTCATCAGAAGCACATTCTACCCACGATGCTTTTTGGCCCCCTTTCCAGTCCGCTACGGACTCTGGAATTAAGTTGGATGATATTGTGATGAAGACACCGGCTTCAACAATACATGGAAAACTTAGCCCAGTATCACAAGGTGCAAACGATATGGGGGTGGGGCAGGATCACGGATGGTCTCTCAGCCTGGTGTTGAAATAGATGGAAAGCTTGAATTGATCGCTGGTTGACGTTACCTCTGATGGACAGATCTCTTAATGTAACGGGGTGAATCGTTACATAACAATTTATTAGAAATTGTTTATAGAATATAACTATAAGAGTTACATTCTCAGAATACTGTCATAAGGACAGATATTCTGCAGCACTTACGAGTAGTTCCTAATTGGTTGATATAGGCCATTATATCAACCAACGAAGACGCGCCACGACAGACGCACGCAATGAGTGGTGAGCAGATAGTTGATATGCACATTTGTATTCAGACATAGTTAGATGAGATAAATAGTGGTTTATCAACAGACATTAACTATACTAAATACAGTTCTACTTTTTACTTTGATCAAGTACTCGCTTCTTCTTACCGTCTTCCTCTGCACGTACCAGTGTACGTGAAGTTCCGAGTCACCGCCTTATTCTGTCATCAGAATAAGTAGCTTGTACTGTCACCAGTACAAGCTTCAGGGTGCCCCGTTACACCTGGTAGCACTTCGTAGTCCGTCCAAGGACCACGTTCACATCTAACATGAATATGTTGGATGATGAAGATGACCAAAGCTTTCACGCTACGCGTGACGGCTACTCGCATTTGAGCAATGTCGAATGGGATGCGGTTGAACGGATAGGTTCAACCATGGGCATCCATGCTGTTAGCGTCATGCTAGAGGCTCTCAATAGAGATGCCCAACATGCTACTATCGCCAAGTTCATTCAAAATGAACTTGACGCCGAACGCGAGCAAGTAGCCTTTCTTCACCAACAAGGTTCTCAACAATCAGAGTTGCTGAGAGAACAGGGTGTTCAACAGTTTGAACTGTTGAGACAGCAGCAGGCTGCTGCTGGTGGGTCGATGCATTCGCGTCGACCCGAGACCTTGAAGATTGACATCTCCAAGTATAGGGGAGTCGAAGAGGACTTCCTCCTGAGATGGTTTGTCGAATTGGATGACGCCATAAGGGCGCGTCGCACCGACGACGGGGAAATGCAAGTTGCATTTGCCCAATCAAATCTGGCAGGACGTGCCAAGACTTGGTCTTTGGGACTCATGTTGCACGACCCATATGCGTTTGGGTCGTTAGCAGTCTTCAAGTCGCGGCTCAGACAAACGTTTGAACCGCCTGGAGCTGAGTTCAGAGCTCGAACCGAACTCTTGAAGCTCAAATAGGGTAAGCGTGATGTGCACGCTTACGCACAACATATACGACATCTCACGAGCTGTATAAGCTCCAACCCGGTTGATGAACACACGTTGGTTTCGGTGTTCATGCAGGGTCTTGCGGATGGTCCCGTCAAGACTCACCGGTTTAGACTTGAACTAGATTCACTAAAACAAGCCATTTCCATTGCGAAACAGGAAGACTTCAGTCGGAGACAGGCTCGCGCCAGCTCGACATCATATCGTACACAGAGACGATATGATAGAGGAGGTCCAGAGCCGATGGAACTCTGTTATGTAGAGAGCGAGAAGGCTCGCTCTACAGACTACAAGAAGTTGCAGAAATGCAACAGATGTCAAAAGACAGGACACTACGCTTACGAGTGTAGTGCCCCTCGTCCAGTGTCTCGCAACACTGGGCGTAGTGACCGTCCACCCATGAAAAAGGGGCAGGGACGCGGGTACGCTGTTGGTGCAAAGACGCAACAACGGGATGGACCGTAAAAAAACGGACAGGATCAGTAGGTACGGAGCATCCTACTGGTCCAGCAATGTCAAGAGAATTTGTAGGCCTCTTGATGAAGGTTGCTCCCAACACACAAACGTAGTGCGTTGCTGCTCTAGGCATTGAGATCTCACTCGTTACCTTGAAACTCGAAGTGACAAAAAAGTTGTCCCTTCGAGCTCTAGTCGATTGTGGGGCGTCCAACAATTTTGTGCAACGCCAATCGCTAGAAGATGGTCACTTTAAGTTCAGTGAATGTGACACACCTCCTACGAGGATGACGGTACGTCTTGCGACAGGCGCATCCGTAACCGTCCTGAAGCGTATAGTGAAGATCCATTATACGCTAGAAGATACCCAATATGACGATGACTTTATCGTATTGGATTTGGATGACAAATTTGATGTCATCCTTGGAATACCGTGGCTCAGAAGGTACGAACCACGAGTAAACTGGCAACATCGGACAGTAACGATGCCTGCCGCTTGTTCATCAGATGGCCATCTGATGAACGTTTTGGAGCGTCCACAAGCGTGTGGATGTACTACGAGTGAGTGCGATGGCCTCACTTGTCATACGGTCGTTAGTACGACTGCACAAAACCTTAGTATAACAAACGGTTACACTTCGGAGCAAAGTTCCGGCGGCTGTGAGGAAACACAGGCTGCGCCGAAGGTCCACCACTCGAATAAGTCGAGTGGACCGGGACAAAGATGAATCCCTAGCGGGGAACATCTAGAAGAGAAACAATGGATTGCTCAGGTTAAGCGAAACGATAATCCTAGATCGATTGGAGAGTCTTTCGTAGAGGATCTCGCTGTGGTTGCGCAACCCCAGCTAGAGGAAGCTAAGGGAATAATTCCCGATATTACAAATACGGCGGAAATAAGTTCCCCGAAACCCGAGGGAATAAGTCCCCGGGAAGCCGAAGGATTGAGTCCTTCGAGGCCTGAAGGAATAAGTCCCCAGGAAATGACAAAGACATTGAATGTCATAGTCAATAACGGATCAAGCGTAGGCGCTTATACACTTGATCTGATTGCGCCTCCGAAGTTGACTTCGGAGATCACTCAGTTGCCAACGCTCGAGCATAAAAGGTTCTTGCGTGATCTGGGCAGTGGCAAAGTCAAGCAGATCTGCGTACTCTTCGCTGACGACGAGTGTGTAGCCGACATAAGGTCAGCAACAGTGTTTACTGAGAACGAGAGAGTTCTCAGTAGTTCACCTATGGACGAGAGCGTCCTAGATGAAAAGACACGAGTTGAGCGATATGACTCCCAATCGTGGGAATCGCTCAAGACAAATCCTCTCTATGAAGATTTGGTTGAATTCAAGGATGTATTCCCTGAAACTGTTCCGTGCGAATTACCGAAGGATAAAGGTATTCGACACGAAGTCGAGCTTAAACCAGGCTCGAAGTACTGTGTCATGAAGCAGTGGCCACTGCGGGCCATGTGAGGGAATCAACTTCCCCACATAGCTCTCCGACCTTCTGTGTGCGAAAAGCAACAGGAGGGTGGCGGATAGTGCATGCATTTAACAAGTTGAATGCTGCACGGTACCGGCTCAGACGTCGACACCAAGGAAGGACGTAATCATTGATGGTATGTCAAAGAGTACCATCTTTTCGTCCATGGATTTGATGGATGGCTTCTATCAAATCCTTATGCGAGAACGGGATATACCCTATACCGCAGTTAGCACGCCTAGCGGCATGCTCTGGGAATGGCTAGTAATGCCACAAGGGCTTAGTAATGCCCCTGCCACGTTCAACAGATGTGATACACATCTGTTGAGACCAGTACGAGAATTCGCGCCTTGTTATTTCGATGACGTATTCATCCATAGTCGGGCTATGGATGGAAAGTCGGACGTTGAGGTTCACAGATACCACGTCCGACAGGTTCTTACAATCATGCGAAAGCATCAATTGTATGCAAACCTCAAGAAGTGTATATTTGCAGCAAGCGAAATACCACTTACTGGGTGCATCGTTGGTAAGAACGGTGTACGTCCTGATCCCGAAAAGATCAAGGCGATCACCGACTGGCCTGTGCCGGTTGATGTCAAAGGTCTTCGAAAATTTCTTGGGCTAGCGGCGTATTTGCAAAAGCATTCACGCAATTACGCCGAGATGACTGTACGCCTCTCTCACTTGTTGAAAAAGAACGAGAGGTGGTTACAGAACGCTGAATGTCAGCGCTTCTTTGATGGTATCAAGCAGAGCTTGATACAATCCCCAGTCCTAGCAATAGCCGATCAGGACAGGCCATTTCATGTGGTCTGTGATGCCAGCGATTTCGCAATCGGCTGTGCATTAATGCAGTACGATCATGAAGGCGTTGAACGCGTCGTCTGCTATCAGTCGCGTCAGCTGCAACCAGCTGAGCGGAACTATCCAGTGCATGACAAGGAACTCCTTGCCATGAAGTATGCACTAGCGAAGTTCAGAGTCTATCTATTAGGAGATAGAACCTTCATTGTCTACACTGACCATGCGTCATTATGCACGGCAGTAAACAGCCCGCACCTTTCACAACGAATGGCGCGGTGGTTGTCATTCTTTGCAGAATACAACTTTACGGTCGAGTACAAACCAGGACGACTTAATGTCGTCGCTGATGCACTCTCACGTCGTCCCGACTTTGAACCAGTCGTGAAACCCGACAGTGAGACATTCACTGTTGCGGTTATGACGTCCTCAGTACCATCTTCAACGTTGCATGATGATGTGAGGCGGGCATATGCAAGATGGTGAGATTGTGAAGTTGTTGACACATCTCTCACAGCCATCTCGAGAATCGTTGAAACGATTATCGTCTGCGTATCGATCTGCATCAGATCGATACACTACTCGCAACGGTTTACTGTATTATACAGCCGTTTCTGGTGACACACCACGTGTTGTCATTCCAGATGATAATGATCTGCGTTTGCGGATCATGTTCGAGTATCACGATGCTCCTATAGGAGGACATCGTGGCCGGGAGAAAACATATCTCACGGTGAGTCGAGACTTTTACTGGCCCCGCCAGTATCAGCTTGTGCGAAAGTATGTTCGCGCATGCGAAGTCTGTCAACGAGTGAAGTCAAGTCCTTCACTGCGTGCACCTTTACAGCCTCTACCCGTTCCGGCAGAGTGCTGGGAATCCATCTCAATGGAATTTGTCTTCGGGTAACCCAAAGACGCACGCGGGAATACGGGCATTCTCGTATTTGTTGACGGATTCAGCAAAATGGTACACCTTGTGGCTGTACCAGAGTCAATCACGGCAAGTGGCTGTGCTTGTGTCTTTATCGACACCATCTTCCGACTTCACGGGTTACCCCGTGTACTCGTATCAGACAGAGATCCACGCTTCACTGCTGATTTCTGGTGTTCCGTGTTCAAATCACTCGAACGCGCTTGAAGATGTCGACATCTGATCATCCAGAGTCAGATGGTCAGACGGAACGTGCCAATCGTGTCCTAGAAGAGATACTTCAAGGATACGTACACTCCTTTAAGAGTTGGAGTGAGTTCTTGCCAATGGTAGAGTTTGCCATTAACAACTCGGTATATGCGTCCACGACACGTACACCGTTTTACGTGAATGGCTTGCGCCATCCGCGTGTACCCACCTTACTAGAGTGTAACTCTGGCTTAAGGGGGGGAGGGACTCGCGCGAGAAAAACCGATTTGGTTCACGCTCATCACGCTCTGACGAAGAGGTCATTGCGTTTGACGCCGATATCGATAACATCGATATCGAAGAAGATGATGCCAGTGAGAGTGCGGAAGCCCTCACTGAAGAAAAGATTGATGTTGCTGCAGTGCGCTCACAGCGCACTGAAGCTAACGAGTCATCAGATGAGTTCATACTGGCTCGTGAAACGGTAGTCTGTTTTGTGCAAGACTCCATCGCCGAAGCGGTGGATAAGCAAAAGCAAAACGCTGACAAGAATGGAAGGGCGAACACTCTTTTACTTAGTAAAGGTGACTTAGTCCTACTGTCTACGGTTAATCTACTAAAGCATGTAGTGACTAATTGGGTAGTAGTAAACTTCTACCCAAGTACATCGGCCCATTTCGTTTATTGCACCGCCTAGGCAATGCATACACGATCGAGTTGCCACGTAAGATGCGAACGCATCCCACGTTTTACATTGGTCGGATTAAGCCTTTCCATCAGTACGCTGCTTCTTCCGATGAAGACCGCCCTTGCGCTCAAGCATCTCGCAGAGAGCCTTGTGCTCCCGATGGTGGCCATCGACAAGGGTCTGAAGAGCAGTTATCTCATCCCGAGACCGCTCAACATCCCCACGAGCTACCCTTAGCTCGTCACGCAGAGACTTCAGAGCTCTCTCGTTCTCAAGCTGAGCAAAGGCGAACTCAGCTCGATGCCTCGAGACAGTGTCCGCCAGTTGGAGACGCCTGTCCCGCTCATGTTCGAGATCGCCGCGTAACCCTTGCGTTACGCGATCAAAGAAGCTCTCGGGAACACACGCTTCCCCACGATTGTGTGGAGATCGTCTTCCCTCCTCCTCCACCTCCATTATAGTTGAGCGGCTGTTGAACCACCGCGACGTGATCAGACGAGTTATCTCGTCCGATGGCGCGGCTATCCCCCGTCCTGGGATACTTGATGGCCCCGCTCCCAACTGATGGTTGACGTACTGGGTCTGGTTGAGCAGTACGACGCGGCACATCCTGTGCCGCAGAAGGACCGCTGGAGAAAGTTATCCCGGAACGGTCTTAAAGAGATTTCAGGTTGTCAATCCCTTCGTACATCTCAGTAGAGATACGTACGCGCCACCACGGGCTATTAGGGAGGTAAGTCTCCTTAGGTGCGCGCGCAGAGTTGTTCACACAACATGGGCACGAGTCTCCCCAAGAGAGGCAGGGTAATCCTTTCTCCCTTGACAGACGATGCAGCTTGTAGCGTGCACCTGTCGGGGTTCGCTTTTCAAACTTATCACGAGCTTTGATAAGTTTGTCGTTCCAAACGTCACGACCTACATCCTCAAGGTTATGGATGTAAGCGTTCCACGCTTGAAGCAGTGAGGGACCATCACGTTTGTGATTCCCACTGTACCATCGATGTTTAAGAAAGCATCGATGAAGAAATCATTCTCAGCGCGATAGTTTTTCACAATGGGGTCAAGGTGATGGATCCTTGACGAATCGAACAATCGTGTTCGATAACGATCACTCGTCGTCGCCGACAAGTGATCCATGACGGATTTGGGAGGCATCCATGCCTTCTTCTCGGGAGCGAGACGCAACACACTGCGGCCCCGCTCTTCTTGCGACGTGCCGACAGAAGTACTGGCACCTCGTTGCGAAGTGGTGTCAATAGGAGAACCGACACCACTGTGAGCACCCGCATATTGTGACTTCGAGAGCCTTCGCTTCGGCGATGGTTCATCTGATTCATCAGATGAACCAAAGATGCTACGACGCATAGAATCATCCATGCCACGCTTGGCCGGCGGCTTCGATTCGATCGCCGTCGATACGGATCCGTCTTCCGTATCAGGAGAGTATGAGACACCGAGCTCTGTGAAGACATGAGTGTCTTCATGACGAGCGCCTGCATCACCAGGTGACACAGGCTGAGTCGCTTCAGCAACCGATGAGACATCAGTTGCTGCGGTTTCTGCTTCGGCGTCCGCACATAGACGTGCGGACGCGCTCTCGGCGGCCTTGCTCGCGCACCGCATGGGCTTGTTAACCATGCGATGAACTGTTGGAAAGTGGACTCGGACCAACAAGTGCAAACCCTGTCCCAATATTGTCATAAGGACAAATATTCTGTAGCACTTACGAGTAGTTCCTAATTGGTTGATATAGGCTATTATATCAACCAACGAAGACGCGCCACGACAGACGCACGCAATGAGTGGTGAGCAGATAGTTGATATGCACATTTGTATTCAGACATAGTTAGATGAGGATAAATAGTGGTATATCAACAGACATTAACTATACTAAATACAGTTCTACTTTTTACTTTGATCAAGTACTCGCTTCTTCTTACCGTCTTCCTCTGCACGTACCAGTGTACGTGAAGTTCCGAGGCACCGCCTTATTCTGTCATCAGAATAAGTATCTTGTACTGTCATCAGTACAAGCTTCAGGGTGCTCCGTTACATCTACAATGCAATTTTGTCAACGCAACGAATTCTCAAGCTTCTATGCTTGTAATACGGCTTTTCAAAAGCGGGTATTAATGCCATTGAGCAGCAGGTCACGGATCTTACACTGGCCAACATGCGGTACGATCTGCAACTAATGCTGATCGACCTAGCGCATAATCGAAATGCCTGTACCCGACTTCAAGCCCCCAATTTCTGCGGAGGCGGCGACCGCTGCACTATATGCTCATTTTGCGGCCTTGAAGTACTGATGTGCAAGCACTGCGTCCCCCAGAGCTTTATGGGGTGAGACTGCTATTTCTCGTGCTGTTCCGATGCATTTGAGGGAGCCGATTTATGTCTAGGGTGTGGATGAGACTTGTAACGCCCACGCGCGACAGTTTTCGTTTCATAAATTCGCGATGTCCAATGAGGTTCGACCACGAAACGGCATCGTGCAGGTACTTGACGGTGAGCGCGTTCGTGTTGTCCTCGAGGCTTGTTACAGTAACAAGGTCATTCCTGTTATTGTTTATTGAACCACACACAGAGGAAATTAAATGGTGTGCAACATGGCGCCATTCTTATGCTTATAAAGCGCTACAGGGGCCTAATTTGCGTGAGCGATTGGATTAAGTGCATCAACAGGTCGCATTACCTAAATTAGACTATACTCCCTGTGATGAGGATTCGTTGGCTGATGTAGCCCGGGCAAAGGAGGCTGAAATTTTGGAGGAATTGAGCCTTGAGGTTTATGCTGGTGGATCTCATTTACGAACATGGAGACTACTGAAGGTGACTTGAGTGTTAAGAGATACGCGGCAGACCTGGCCCAGATCCTACATCCGGAAGTACGTGAGCAAATTCTGCAAACCCTTGACCTGGACCGACTGCCTAATCCGGATCGCCGCCGAGCTAAAAGGCTAACCAAGGCGAACCATGCAACCTTCAACACCTGGTTGTCTACCTATGGACCGACCTTAAAACTGCCGCCACACCACCTGGTAATGGCACTTATAACGAGTTTCAAGATTGGAGCTGGGACACGTGCAGGCACTAAGGCATGTACTACATTTCTAGCTGTTCCCGGGTCATGGCTATTTAAGCAGGTCCCGCTGATTTAAATTGGGGTGGAGGGAACAAGAAGTGTACCAGAATTGACTAGTCACGCTCCGATGTATCGCCGATGACTGCGTCAGCGATGTCAGGGCCCGCGCTCACTGCCTACAGTGGCTGGATGAGTGCTCGACGGCGCAGTCGGTCGATCGAAGCGTATGATATAGCGATCTCCTAAGACCGTTGAAGGGACTGAGGGCGCTACGTAGACTCTCACTTCTCCGCCCCAACCCGACTGGTGTACCGGTCACCCAATAGTATCTCATTCACATCCTACCGTTTGCTGTCAAGGATTAAAAGGACACCCTAATGTTTTGGGCTCTTGGAGCCGCGAGCTCAAACTGGCATGTACACTTCCCCACAATGGTGGAGCTGTGCCATGCGATCACAATTATTTCCGATTGGAGCAAGGTAATGAAGCTTTCGCTTGGAGCGGCCACGTGTAGCTCGACTCAGGGGTTAGTGTCTGCATTAGCCGCGAGTGCTTCTCCTGTGCCGCTTCAATAAACGAGGCCCAGTTAAATTGAGTCAGGAAGGGGGCGGGAAACCCAGCTTGCTTGACTTTTACCCAGTCCTTTCTTTTCAGGACCGGATGCACTCTTTTCGATTTGATTTTAACTTTTTTCGTACTGCTCGGAGGGCATATCGGCGCCGTCGGGGAACGTTAGGACGTTCAACCCGTTGGCACTCGCCAACAAATACAGATTTTGCACCCGGGTGACCGGACCATGGCCTAGCTAAATCAAAATGTGAGAGGTTTTGGGGTCTTCGAGCAAACCCGGACCGACTGGCTCGCATCCTTTAATCTAAAGCACAATAGGGGGCACTTTGACGCGGTTTTTGCCTAAGATACTCATGTGCAAGCCCGCAAAATCCTCGAGACGGTTCAACAACATGCGGTAAGAAAGGGTTCTCGAACAGGTATACACTGCCCAACGTTGTCTCACTGGTCTTTCTCCGACGGTAAGCGTGGCGGGATTGGAATTGTCATTCACCCACGCTCGCGTTTTCAGACCACAGTGGTAACGGGGCACCCTGAAGCTTGTACTGATGACAGTACAAGCTACTTATTCTGATGACAGAATAAGGCGGTGCCTCGGAACTTCACGTACACTGGTACGTGCAGAGGAAGACGGTAAGAAGAAGCGAGTACTTGACTAAAGTAAAAAGTAGAACTGTATTTAGTACAGTTAATGTCTATTAATTAATGACTATTTATCTCATCTAACTACGTCTGAATACAAATGTGCATATCAACTATCTGCTCACCACTCATTGCGTGCGTCTGTCGTGGCGCGTCTTCGTTGGTTGATATAATAGCCTATATCAACCAATTATGAACTACTCGTAAGTGCTGCAGAATATCTGTCCTTATGACAATATTCTGAGAATGTAACTCTTATAGTTATATTCTATTAACAATTTCTAATAAATTGTTATGTAACGATTCACCCCGTTACATCACCCCCCCTTAACCATCAGTCACTTTAGTGACTAATTGACTAAATGGATACTCGTCCCAAATCATTTGGGACAGGGTTTGCACTTGTTGGTCCGAGTCCACTTTCCAACAGTTCATCGCATGGTTAACAAGCCCATGCGGTGCGCGAGCAAGGCCGCCGAGAGCGCGTCCGCACGTCTATGTGCGGACGCCGAAGCAGAAACCGCAGCAACTGATGTCTCATCGGTTGCTGAAGCGACTCAGCCTGTGTCACCTGGTGATGCAGGCGCTCGTCATGAAGACACTCATGTCTTCACAGAGTATGAGCTCGGTGTCTCATACTCTCCTGATACGGAAGACGGATCCGTATCGACGGCGATCGAATCGAAGCCGCCGGCCAAGCGTGGCATGGATGATTCTATGCGTCGTAGCATCTTTGGTTCATCTGATGAATCAGATGAACCATCGCCGAAGCGAAGGCTCTCGAAGTCACAATATGCGGGTGCTCACAGTGGTGTCGGTTCTCCTATTGACACCACTTCGCAACGAGGTGCCAGTACTTCTGTCGGCACGTCGCAAGAAGAGCGGGGCCGCAGTGTGTTGCGTCTCGCTCCCGAGAAGAAGGCATGGATGCCTCCCAAATCCGTCATGGATCACTTGTCGGCGACGACGAGTGATCGTTATCGAACACGATTGTTCGATTCGTCAAGGATCCATCACCTTGACCCCAGTGTGAAAAACTATCGAGCTGAGAATGATTTCTTCATCGATGCTTTCTTAAACATCGATGGTACAGTGGGAATCACAAACGTGATGGTCCCTCACTGCTTCGAGCGTGGAACGCTTACATCCATAACCTTGAGGATGTAGGTCGTGGCGCTTGGAATGACAAACTTATCAAAGCTCGTGATAAGTTTGAAAAGCGAACCCCGACTGGTGCACGCTACAAGCTGCATCGTCTGTCAAGGGAGAAAGGATTACCCTGCCTCTCTTGGGGAGACTCGTGCCCATGTTGTGTGAACAACTCTGCACGAGCACCGAAGGAGGCTTATCTCCTTAATAGCCCGTGGTGGCGCGTACGTGTCTCTACTGAGATGTACGAAGGGATTGACAACCTGAAATCCCTTTACGACCGTTCCGGGATAACTTTCTCCAGCGGTCCTTCTGCGGCACAGGATGTGCCGCGTCGTACTGCTCAACCAGACCCAGTACGTCAACCATCAGTTGGGAGCGGGGCCATCAAGTATCCCAGGACGGGGGATAGCCGCGCCATCGGACGAGATAACTCGTCTGATCACGTCGCGGTGGTTCAACAGCCGCTCAACTATAATGGAGGTGGAGGAGGAGGGAAGACGATCTCCACACAATCGTGGGGAAGCGTGTGTTCCCGAGAGCTTCTTTGATCGCGTAACGCAAGGGTTACGCGGCGATCTCGAACATGAGCGGGACAGGCGTCTCCAACTGGCGGACACTGTCTCGAGGCATCGAGCTGAGTTCGCCTTTGCTCAGCTCGAGAACGAGAGATCTCTGACATCTCTTCGTGACGAGCTAAGGGTAGCTCGTGGGGATGTTGAGCGGTCTCGGGATGAGATAACTGCTCTTCAGACCCTTGTCGATGGCCACCATCGGGAGCACAAGGCTCTCTGCGAGATGCTTGAGCGCAAGGGCGGTCTTCATCGGAAGAAGCAGCGTACTGATGGAAAGGCTTAATCCGACCAATGTAAAACGTGGGATGCGTTCGCATCTTACGTGGCAACTCGATCGTGTATGCATTGCCTAGGCGGTGCAATAAACGAAATGGGCCGATGTACTTGGGTAGTAGTTTACTGCTACCCAAGTTAGTCACTACGTGCTTTGTAGATTAACCGTAGACAGTAGGACTAAGTCACCTATACTAAGTAAAAGAGTGTTCGCCCTTCCATTCTTGTCAGCGTTTTGCTTTTGCTTATCCACCGCTTCGGCGATGGAGTCTTGCACAAAACGGACTACCGTTTCACGAGCCAGTATGAACTCATCTGATGACTCGTTAGCTTCAGTCCGCTGTGAGCGCACTGCAGCAACATCAATCTTTTCTTCAGTGAGGGCTTCCGCACTCTCACTGGCATCATCTTCTTCGATATCGATGTTATCGATATCGGCGTCAAACGCAATGACCTCTTCGTCAGAGCGTGATGAGCGTGAACCAAATCGGTTTTTTCTCGCGCGAGTCCCTCCCCCCCTTAAGCCAGAGTTACACTCTAGTAAGGTGGGTACACGCGGATGGCGCAAGCCATTCACGTAAAACGGTGTACGTGTCGTGGACGCATATACCGAGTTGTTAATGGCAAACTCTACCATTGGCAAGAACTCACTCCAACTCTTAAAGGAGTGTACGTATCCTTGAAGTATCTCTTCTAGGACACGATTGGCACGTTCCGTCTGACCATCTGACTCTGGATGATCAGATGTCGACATCTTCAAGCGCGTTCGAGTGATTTGAACACGGAACACCAGAAATCAGCAGTGAAGCGTGGATCTCTGTCTGATACGAGTACACGGGGTAACCCATGAAGTCAGAAGATGGTGTCGATAAAGACACAAGCACAGCCACTTGCCGTGATTGACTCTGGTACAGCCACAAGGTGTACCATTTTGCTGAATCCGTCAACAAATACGAGAATGCCCGTATTCCCGCGTGCGTCTTTGGGTTACCCGAAGACAAATTCCATTGAGATGGATTCCCAGCACTCTGCCGGAACGGGTAGAGGCTGTAAAGGTGCACGCAGTGAAGGACTTGACTTGACTCGTTGACAGACTTCGCATGCGCGAACATACTTTCGCACAAGCTGATACTGGCGGGGCCAGTAAAAGTCTCGACTCACCGTGAGATATGTTTTCTCCCGGCCACGATGTCCTCCTATAGGAGCATCGTGATACTCGAACATGATCCGCAAACGCAGATCATTATCATCTGGAATGACAACACGTGGTGTGTCACCAGAAACGGCTGTATAATACAGTAAACCGTTGCGAGTAGTGTATCGATCTGATGCAGATCGATACGCAGACGATAATCGTTTCAACGATTCTCGAGATGGCTGTGAGAGATGTGTCAACAACTTCACAATCTCACCATCTTGGGCATATGCCCGCCTCACATCATCATGCAACGTTGAAGATGGTACTGAGGACGTCATAACCGCAACAGTGACTGTCTCACTGTCGGGTTTCACGACTGGTTCAAAGTCGGGACGACGTGAGAGTGCATCAGCGACGACATTAAGTCGTCCTGGTTTGTACTCGACCGTAAAGTTGTATTCTGCAAAGAATGACAACCACCGCGCCATTCGTTGTGAAAGGTGCAGGCTGTTTACTGCCGTGCGTAATGACGCATGGTCAGTGTAGACAATGAAGGTTCTATCTCCTAATAGATAGACTCTGAACTTCGCGAGTGCATACTTCATGGCAAGGAGTTCCTTGTCATGCACTGGATAGTTCCGCTCAGCTGGTTGCAGCTGACGCGACTGATAGCAGACGACGCGTTCAACGCCTTCAAGATCGTACTGCATTAATGCACAGCCGATTGCGAAATCGCTGGCATCACAGACCACATGAAATGGCCTGTCCTGATCGGCAATTGCTAGTACTGGGGATTGTATCAAGCTCTGCTTGATACCATCAAAGAAGCGCTGACATTCAGCGTTCCGTAACCACCTCTCGTTCTTTTTCAACAAACGAGAGAGATGTACAGTCATCTCGGCGTAATTGCGTGAGTACTTATGCAAATACGCCGCTAGCCCAAGAAATTTTCGAAGACCTTTGACATCAACCGGCACAGGCCAGTCGGTGATCGCCTTGATCTTTTCGGGATCAGGACGTACACCGTTCTTACCAACGATGCACCCAGTAAGTGGTATTTCGCTTGCTGCAAATATACACTTCTTGAGGTTTGCATACAATTGATGCTTTCGCATGATTGTAAGAACCTGTCGGACGTGGTATCTGTGAACCTCAACGTCCGACTTTCCATCCATAGCCCGACTATGGATGAATACGTCATCGAAATAACAAGGCGCGAATTCTCGTACTGGTCTCAACAGATGTGTATCACATCTGTTGAACGTGGCAGGGGCATTACTAAGCCCTTGTGGCATTACTAGCCATTCCCAGAGCATGCCGCTAGGCGTGCTAACTGCGGTATAGGGTATATCCCGTTCTCGCATAAGGATTTGATAGAAGCCATCCATCAAATCCATGGACGAAAAGATGGTACTCTTTGACTTACCATCAATGATTACGTTCTTCCTTGGTGTCGACGTCTGAGCCGGTACCGTGCAGCATTCAACTTGTTAAATGCATGCACTATCCGCCACCCTCCTGTTGCTTTTCGCACACAGAAGGTCGGAGAGCTATGTGGGGAAGTTGATTCCCTCACATGGCCCGCAGTGGCCACTGCTTCATGACACAGTACTTCGAGCCTGGTTTAAGCTCGACTTCGTGTCGAATACCTTTATCCTTCGGTAATTCGCACGGAACAGTTTCAGGGAATACATCCTTGAATTCAACCAAATCTTCATAGAGAGGATTTGTCTTGAGCGATTCCCACGATTGGGAGTCATATCGCTCAACTCGTGTCTTTTCATCTAGAACGCTCTCGTCCATAGATGAACTACTGAGAACTCTCTCGTTCTCAGTAAACACTGTTGCTGACCTTATGTCGGCTACACACTCGTCGTCAGCGAAGAGTACGCAGATCTGCTTGACTTTGCCACTACCCAGATCACGCAAGAACCTTTTATGCTCGAGCGTTGGCAACTGAGTGATCTCCGAAGTCAACTTCGGAGGCGCAATCAGATCAAGTGTATAAGCGCCTACGCTTGATCCGTTATTGACTATGACATTCAATGTCTTTGTCATTTCCTGGGGACTTATTCCTTCAGGCCTCGAAGGACTCAATCCTTCGGCTTCCCGGGGACTTATTCCCTCGGGTTTCGGGGAACTTATTTACGCCGTATTTGTAATATCGGGAATTATTCCCTTAGCTTCCTCTAGCTGGGGTTGCGCTACCACAGCGAGATCCTCTACGAAATACTCTCCAGTCGATCCAGGATTATCGTTTCGCTTAACCTGAGCAATCCATTGTTTCTCTTCTAGATGTTCCCCGCTAGGGATTCATCTTTGTCCCGGTCCACTCGACTTATTCGAGTGGTGGACCTTCGGCGCAGCCTGTGTTTCCTCACAGCCGCCGGAATCTTGCTCCAAAGTGTAACTGTTTGTTACACTAAGGTTTCGTGCGGTCGTACTAACTACCGTACCACAAGTGAGGCCATCGCACTCACTCGTAGTACATCCACACGCTTGTGGACGCTCCAAAACGTTCATCAGATGGCCATCTGAAGAACAAGCGGCAGGCATCGTTACTGTCCGATGTTGCCAGTTTACTCGTGGTTCGTACCTTCTGAGCCACGGTATTCCAAGGATGACATCAAATTTGTCATCCAAATCCAATACGATAAAGTCATCGTCATATTGGGTATCTTCTAGCGTATAATGGATCTTCACTATACGCTTCAGGACGGTTACGGATGCGCCTGTCGCAAGACGTACCGTCATCCTCTTAGGAGGTGTGTCACATTCACTGAACTTAAAATGACCATCTTCTAGCGATTGGCGTTGCACAAAATTGTTGGACGCCCCACAATCGACTAGAGCTCGAAGGGACAACTTTTTTGTCACTTCGAGTTTCAAGGTAACGAGTGAGATCTCAATGCCTAGAGCAGCAACGCACTACGTTTGTGTGTTGGGAGCAACCTTCATCAAGAGGCCTACAAATTCTCTTGACATTGCTGGACCAGTAGGATGCTCCGTACCTACTGATCCTGTCCGTTTTTTTTACGGTCCATCCCGTTGTTGCGTCTTTGCACCAACAGCGTACCCGCGTCCCTGCCCCTTTTTCATGGGTGGACGGTCACTACGCCCAGTGTTGCGAGACACTGGACGAGGGGCACTACACTCGTAAGCGTAGTGTCCTGTCTTTTGACATCTGTTGCATTTCTGCAACTTCTTGTAGTCTGTAGAGCGAGCCTTCTCGCTCTCTACATAACAGAGTTCCATCGGCTCTGGACCTCCTCTATCATATCGTCTCTGTGTACGATATGATGTCGAGCTGGCGCGAGCCTGTCTCCGACTGAAGTCTTCCTGTTTCGCAATGGAAATGGCTTGTTTTAGTGAATCTAGTTCAAGTCTAAACCGGTGAGTCTTGACGGGACCATCCGCAAGACCCTGCATGAACACCGAAACCAACGTGTGTTCATCAACCGGGTTGGAGCTTATACAGCTCGTGAGATGTCGTATATATTGTGCGTAAGCGTTCACATCACGCTTACCCTGTTTGAGCTTCAAGAGTTCGGTTCGAGCTCTGAACTCAGCTCCAGGCGGTTCAAACGTTTGTCTGAGCCGCGACTTGAAGACTGCTAACGACCCAAACGCATATGGGTCGTGCAACATGAGTCCCAAAGACCAAGTCTTGGCACGTCCTGCCAGATTTGATTGGGCAAATGCAACTTGCATTTCCCCGTCGTCGGTGCGACGCGCCCTTATGGCGTCATCCAATTCGACAAACCATCTCAGGAGGGAGTCCTCTTCGACTCCCCTATACTTGGAGATGTCAATCTTCAAGGTCTCGGGTCGACGCGAATGCATCGACCCACCAGCAGCAGCCTGCTGCTGTCTCAACAGTTCAAACTGTTGAGCACCCTGTTCTCTCAGCAACTCTGATTGTTGAGAACCTTGTTGGTGAAGAAAGGCTACTTGCTCGCGTTCGGCGTCAAGTTCATTTTGAATGAACTTGGCGATAGTAGCATGTTGGGCATCTCTATTGAGACCCTCTAGCATGACGCTAACAGCATGGATGCCCATGGTTGAACCTATCCGTTCAACCGCATCCCATTCGACATTGCTCAAATGCGAGTAGCCGTCACGCGTAGCGTGAAAGCTTTGGTCATCTATATCATCCAACATATTCATGTTAGATGTGAACGTGGTCCTTGGACGGACTACGAAGTGCTACCAGGTGTAACGGGGCACCCTGAAGCTTGTACTGGTGACAGTACAAGCTACTTATTCTGATGACAGAATAAGGCGGTGCCTCGGAACTTCACGTACACTGGTACGTGCAGAGGAAGACGGTAAGAAGAAGCGAGTACTTGATCAAAGTAAAAAGTAGAACTGTATTTTGTATAGTTAATGTCTGTTGATAAACCACTATTTATCCTCATCTAACTATGTCTGAATACAAATGTGTCAATCAACTATCTGCTCACCACTCATTGCGTGCGTCTGTCGTGGCGCGTCTTCGTTGGTTGATATAATGGACTATATCAACCAATTAGGAACTACTCGTAAGTGCTGCAGAATATTTGTCCTTACGACAATATTCTGAGAATGTAACTCTTATAGTTATATTCTATTAACAATTTCTAATAAATTGTAATGTAAAGATTCACCCCGTTACAACAGTACCTTTCGCAATATCTCATTGGTTACAGCATTTTATGGCGACTGGGAAAATTACGAGGGACAAGCAGTATTTCTCGTCAATGTGTATGCCCCGACGGGCAAGACGACCCGGGAGCTCTACTTTACCGGATTGCGTGACATTTTTATCTCCCAAGCGACTCACCTCTACGTAGGTGGGAATTTTAACTCCACTCTCCACACTAACCGTGATCACATCTACCTTAGTAGTCTCAAGAGCCATGACTCGCCGGCACTCAGGCTTTTGCTGGAACACCGGTTGCCTACTGACTCGACCCTCTAAGCTATGCCCTGAATACAGGATAAAGAGGATGTGCACCAGTATCGCACTGATGACCATACTTATTAGTACACGGTGCCGATAGATGGTGGAGCTTCTATCATGCTAGACCTTTATTAGGTGAATGATGCTGCCCGATATTGGGCACTATCTACGGTACTTGACTGATACGGGCTCACTGGACATTACAAAGGAACCAAACTTCATATCCGAGACCCCACAAACCCGGCAAGAATTAAAAAGAAATCGAGAGTGTTCCCAGTCCGCCCGTATGCTCAGACACGGGTAGGCGACCATTTCCGGACTTAATATCTTCTGCTCTTCATCACCATGATCCACCCCGATATGTCGGCACCAGTGGTGGCCACTCAATAGGAGTCCTTTAACAATTCTATGGTTGAGGGCATTCTCTTTCACCAAAGCGAGGCAATAAAGTCTAACAAAGACGTATCGCAAATTCAAGAGCTAGAGAGGTTTATACCGAACACTAAACGGAACTGGCTCGTTTCAAGCAGCGACGGCTGTTTCGAC